CTGGAAAGGTGATTTGCAACAAGGACAAAAGCACCTGGAATATGACACACCAGGAGACATATGTCAAGTGTGTGGGTTCAAAAAGGGAGATCCACTGTCTAACCATAAAGGGAACAAGAATGAGTGCCCCTTTGGCAAGTGATATAAGCCACCACCATTGAACAAGAGGAAGAAAGTGAACTAAAGCATGTTGGACTGTAAAAAGTGCCTGAGCATTAACATCGTAAGATCTTTCATCCATAGACCATTGTCCTGAAGCCTCCTGCTGATTAACCCACACACCCCGACTTTGGAGATGAGCATTTGAGAAAAGAAACAAATCCGGACATGAGGAGGGAATTGGGGATATGTTCAACCACCAATGAATACAGTCGAAGAGGGAAGGAGGAAAGTTAAGAGGAGAATCCAAAGGAACCCTAGCAAGAGACCATGGGTTGTGCAGCATTTCCTAGAAAGATTGCAAATGTGCCAGACCCAAAGGAAAAAGTGCATCCATAAAAGCCACATCCCCCAATATGTTAGAACCTCACTAGCAGTAAGATAGCGAACCATTATGGCATGGATAAGAGAAAGTTCCATCAGGAGGAGAATGGATGGTCCTGATAGAAGTGGGTGTTTCAAAAGACAAGCCTCAAATAGCCAAAATTATTAGGTAAGTAACAGGAGAAACTTATGAAACTGGAAAATCCAACCACCCAAGTTGCTTGTGTAAGAAGCAGATGAGTATGTTATGAGCCCCCCCCCCTTCGGATGGAGCTAACCAAACTCAGACATCCGAGTAGTGGTGTTAGTAAAGTCGCCCAAAATGCAGAAGTCGGGTAAAATGCAGAACACCTGACAAAAGACATACGAACTGAAACAAGTCCAAAGGGCAAAGCACAAAATTGATACCAAATCAGGTGGTGAAAAAACCTAGAATAGCATCCCGAGAAATGAAAAATAAGAATGTGTACCATTGGCATTTTCAGTCCTGCAGAAATTGACCACCTTATTGTGATCAAAAACTACATATTGAAAATGGTGAAGAACCAAGAAGTGATTGAGGTGGGGCCAATTGACCCAGAACTCCAATCAGCATTGAGCATACACTATGAATGGAGAAACCCATAGGTAGCACAGGTAAAGGACAGGAAAGTGCCAGATATGGAACATGAATAAAGATGACAAGGACTTGGCATGAAACAAAAGAGCAACCAAACAAAACAGAATATAGCATTGCAGATACTCCACATAATGCTAATTGCACAGGAGTAACCTCAAAAATGGACCTGTGAAGAAAAAGTGCAGACTTTAAGTCCCTATTAGAAGTGGATGGTAAACAAATGGTACAAGACAATGTCTCACATGTGGAGGGAAAGAGCAGAAGATGGCAAATGCCCCAACATGGATAGAAGGAGGGAGAGGTATCTCACGAAAATCTTCTAGATATAGGTGGAATGCCTAAGAAAGGAAGTGTATGAGAGTCAATAGGGTAA